ATATTAAGCCCGGATAAACAATTTTTTTTTTTTCGACGTAATGTTAAGAACAAGATGTATCGAATATTTGGTACTTGAAATACATATTGTTCAAATGTGTGCGAGACATTTGCTTTCTTTTTCAACGACGGATCACCTATACGTAGCTTTCAATTGGTCGAAGCAAAATTTCATCGTAGCTTTTAAGAGAAAAATTAATGAAAACCTCGATCTTTGAGACAAACGACAGAATTCAATAGATTAGAATCGAGGAATAAGTTCCTTTGAATTTTTCTCTAGACGCTAACAAAATATAAATACAATACGTTTTTAAGAAATATTTTGTGTATAATGTTTGGTACTCGCTGTGTTTGGTAAACCGTGACGAATGTCAATAGAATACTTAGGATTTAGGGCTATCTAATTTTGATCTATGAATGCATGAATCGCGCGAAGGAACGTTGGATTGAAACAGTTGAACGTATAGTGATTGAAAAAGCTCAATAATTAGCGTATCTATTGAGAGATACACGTGGTTGAATGCCTTTTGTATTCTTATTTGTGTTGAGAGAATACCACGTTTCTTTAAAAAACGTAAATAACCTTGAGATGTCCTTGAACGGCTTCTACCTACCAATTTGACTGTGAAATTTGAATAACCTTTGCAACGTTTTACAATCGCCATATATTCAGCTCATTCGATGCAACGTGATCTTTGCGCGCGCGCGCCTGTATGTTTATGTGTGCGAGAGAGTTGAGAATGAGTTAGTGAATGCAGTATACACGTCTATATCTACATTTTCGAAGGATCAATAAAAATTGATTTACTTTTATCGTTAAAGAATAATGATAATTGCTTGTTTAGTATTTTTAACTTTGTAATTCTATGTGCAATATAACATACATATTCTTTTCAATCCGTCTGTGGTCATTTTGTCATACAGTTCGTGAAAACTCGATTTAACGAGTCTTAATTTAATGCACAACATTCTCCTATGTAGTTATATTTCTAAGTTATGCGTAGTTTGATTCTTTTCCGTGTTATTTTAACATAGCGGAACTCCTCTAATACTGTCACCTTAACCTGTACCAAAGAACCTGAGCGAATGTCACGCGATGGAATTCAGATTTAATAGTCAAAATCTTGGAAAACGATTATTTCTTTGACTAGAACTTTGTATCACGTAGACTAAAGAATAATAGTGTTATCGTCATAAATCGGTAAAAGGATAGGTTTTTTTACTACCTTAAAATCAAATTGCATTTTATTTCATATAGACGCTATTCCATGGCTACTTAGATATAACATTTGGATTTATTGTATACCTCTTTCTCACTATTTGTCCGTTTACATTCAGGTTTTACTGCACCTCAGAAAAGGACGTTCTCCTATATACAATTAAAGGCTGCTAACGTTTAAACTTTCTCTTAGAGAACCAAGACTCGTTTTCGTAGGAATAGAAAGAAAAAAAGCGTTGTTTTATAGTCGCTTTAGTTTGAAAGCTTTTACTGCACGCGATTCAGCACCATGTGATGTGGTGTGAGCAAGTATGAGGTCTTTCACCGGTACGGAAAGTTCATGTACCTAGCCTTAACTGTCTATTCATTATAAAGCTCTTTTCGCATATGCTACAAAAAAAATATAAGCTCTTTTTTCACTGCTGCAATTTGCCAGATGATATCTCGGTATTAGCGGAGATTTAGTTAAGTTAATTCTAATCTTTCTTGTGTATCGTAATTTTTTCCCCCCGTGCACTTTTTTTATGGCGAAGTATGCCCTTCTATGTTAATCTGTATTTCCATGTCATTAGAGTTTGCATGGCACAAATCATGGCGCATGGTCGACAGAATCTAGGAATCACGAATCGGGTGCTTTGAATAAGGTTTTATTATGTATTACAGTTTCTTTATGTTTATACGTTATTAAAAATTATTGGACTTAAACATGCTTTCGTATTTATGTGTTTAGTTGCAGCAATGGAGGTGAAATTTAGTTCGAAATATTTGCAAGTAAGTTTGACTAGACGAACGTTAACCATAAAGATGCTGAACTTTAGTTAAATTATAATTATAATACTTTTTTAAATATACTCACAACAAATAAGACAGAGTTGTCAGTTACAGTCAGTTTGAATTTTTTAAACAATAGAAATGACAAGCAATAACGGTTTGAATAAATAATAAAATATTTGTGGAATATGTACCTCGTTACGTAAATATGTTGCGTGAAACATATCGACAACTAAACTAATTAATATGTTTATGTTTATTTTAATTTCAGTTCGTTAGTATATTTATGTAATTATTTTCTTGATTGATTAAGAAATCATGGAAAACATTTGCTAATTGTATTTATAATAAATTTTCTGTATTATGTCTTTTTATCTGCTAGTACAATAGTTCTACTAATACAATAAGTTATACCAAAGTTATTGTATTTTATTATGTTTTCAGCTAAAATTTATTTTTAGTAAATGTTTATAAAACATTACTATAAAAGATGAAAAGTTACAAATGTTTTCCATCTGTTGTTTACATGATTACCATGAGAGATTTTTGTACCGACTTTATTTATGTCTACTTACCTTCCGAACTGTTCTGAACTGCATTGTTAGATGGCACTGCTAATACCGTTGCGGTAGCGTTTCGGCAAGTTTGCGAAATGAATTATTGTTTACACCAGCACGCGTTGAATAATCCAGTTTTATAAAGTACGTCGTGATAATTTCACATTTAATAACGACTCTCATTAAACAGTTGTATAAATTGCTAAGAGTCGTTAGTTGTAATCGGCTGTGGCAGAAGTATAAAGTAATTGATAATGTTAAGCGTGCACATAACCCTCCCTTTGATCTGCACAGTTGAAGAAGTGTGTATTCAAAAGATTACAATGGGATTTATATATGAAAGAATATTATGTCAAACTAGTAAAAATCACAGCATTTATTCAGTTACAAAGGAAAGAACTTTCTAACAGCTATTTGTACTGTAACAACATGCAATTGTATTGTTATGTTTGAATATCATATTGATCGATATCTTATCTAAATATGTAACTATGAATGCCTCGAACATCTAACAGAATCAATACTGTTTACATTTGCTATGTGTTCAAGGGATTTCGATAGAACAACGTTCTTTTTTATGTGTAGTAAAATAATTTTATTTCCATGGTTCAAATTTTGTATTCCTTTTTTTTACACGAACTCGTAGGGCGAAAGCAGTTACAGTGCGCATGCGCTGCCTACCGACTGAAATTCGAACCATGTTCGTAATTAGAGTTTAAACTCTCGTGCAAAATTATATTTACTTTCATTTTCGTAGTTAACGTACTCACTTTTGGCTGTTATCAAAAATGTAGTTTCTCTTTATCGAGATGATTGTTTATGATAATATGATATACTTTTGCTTCTGTCCATTAATTTCGTAGAATATCCTACAGCGGCTACATTAAATTTATTTTATGAATATTTTTAAATTTTTTAAACGATTGAAACACACTTTTGGTTAGTAAAAATTAAATATTTTATTGCAAAGTAAGTTATTTTATATCTTTACATGTGTTAAATCACTAATATGTAATTTTTGACTTTTTATCGAGGTTTTGTACATTATTTACGTTTAATTAGTATATTGGATCTATTTAAGTATAATGATTTTTTAATGTTAGAATCATTGGGTATTACAGTGTACGTAATTAATACATTTCATTATTGACGTTAATTTTCACATTACATTTTGTTATTAATATATTATATTATCTATATTATAAGTATGCATACTCTGGTATACGTGTTCTTTAATTTACATATGCGGAAGGAAGGAAAAATTAAGTTAGAATAATGAATTAAGCGAGATAATAATTTAATTAGTAAGATTACAAAAACGATACAAAAACGCATTTTTGTATTTATTATTAATTAAAGTAAGCTTAGCAGATTGAAAAACATGTATATAAAATTGAATGTTTAGACCAGTTTTCGTACGTAAAAGTTACACATTGCATTACAACAGATTTAAGTTTCGCGGGCTTGTGTATTTTACTATTTTTATTTGAATTGCGCGCGTATCTAATTTACAATCGTTGAATGTTTCAGTTTGCACCGACGACGAACAATTTAAAAGAGAGAGCCAATTGGCGAGTCCATTTATTACTGTCGCCAGACGATAAATATGCAATGAAGTTCGAAAGGCGGGATTTTTACTTGAAATTTTAAATTTCACCAACTCTAGCGAGTACTGGATCTCTCGTAATTCATCGATGGTAAAGTCTCAAGTGTGAGTATTATTTCAAGTGATAGTTCAGTATAAAATCATATGATAACGTTAAAGTTACGATTACATAGATTATTTTAATTTAATTCTCTATTTATTAAAGTCATATTGAACGGAATTCGAACATCTGAACAAAAAAAGCACACGCGTAATTCGATATTCTTATCCTCGATCGCTGACATAACCTCACTCATTCTTTTGTTCGAGAAGTAAATTTTTGAGCAGAGGGAAATGCATAGACGAGCTCTGGAATGTGATTTGAGATCGAAGTCGAGGTTTATCCCGATGGTCACGCCGTCGGGAAAATTTTGAACAATGTAGCAAGTACTCGCTGGCAACAATATCGCAAAGCTCGAATCGTCGTGCACAACGTCTCGTAAGAGCAGGAGAGCGGAACTCGGCTGTCTTCTTCTATTTGTCGGACTGCGCTCTCATTTGCTGGCTCTTGCGTCCCTCTGCGACTCTCTTCCTCTCTTTTCTCTCTGTCAGAACCTATACACGTGTAATGCCTCCGCCTTCGTCCCACTCATGAATCGTTCGAGTCCTTCATCTCCTTCTCTCTTACAGGATGAGATCGAGCCACGGACGTAACCGACAGGATTGGACCAGCCTCTGACGTCATTGCGTGGACCGACGTATCTCGTCGACGATTGTCGAAAGCACGCTGTTCTCGCTCCTGTATATCCACGTACAACAATCAGCGGCAAATTCAAATACACGGCAAGTTCCGTCTTACCACGCTATTTTACCTTTAGAATTCCTTGATTAATTCACGACGTTTTCGACAAATTAATTTATCGATCGAACGTTTGCTCGTGGATTCGCGTAGTTTTTCAATGTCAAATCCAAATTTTCTGGTCGGAATTCGGAAGTAGGGAACAGAGAAGGGATGAATTATTAATTTTCGTCATGAACGAGAAATTCTGGCATTTTAAATATGGATTTTCACGGTCTGTATGTTCTTCAGATATATTCTTTGTTTTCGTTTTTCGTGTACCGTCTATTCGGTTGTTTGTATTCTTCGTGTAGCTGGGGGTCACATTGTTGTGAAACTGACGATTCAATTTCATTACTGTTTATTGACAACAGGTTGCGTAGCCGTACATGGTAAATGGTTTATTAGCATATTTTGTTATGTAGTTACGTTGATACAGTTGAAAGGAAATTTATTTAGATTAACGAACGTCGTTTCTTTCATATAAGTAAAGGAATTACCCCTTTTAACTGTATAATACGTTATAAAATCACGGTACTTTAGCCGGTAAAGATACTTTGAGTGCTGCCCCAGATACTCCCTATTGAAAAGCCACGCGCAACCGTTCGAAAAGATTTACCCGCCTTCCGAGAATGTAACTCATCGCACGAGTACGGAATTTCTGACAAATCGAAGCAACCCAAACATTCGGATCCATTTCAAAGGCAGGTATTTGTTTCGATTACTTAGAACTGGAATTATTTAGCATCGAGGTCAACAAACGATGACTCTGTGTTCATCATACAGTCATAACCAGTGCATATTACGTTTGGTACAAAGACGTTCTTTTTCTTATACATTAGGAAATTTACAAAATTAACTGGGGAATTGTGTCCATCTTTTGTCAGGTCTTGAAGCATCTTTTGTTGTTTGTTTGGCGTTTATTAAAAAATAAACAGATACCGACTTTAAAGCTGAGTAGGTCTATTAGTCCTTAATATAAAAAATACAAAAATAGGAATATTTACACTACTACATATAATACTTAATAGTAGAAGTCATCTTAGTCTAAGTGTATTTCTTTATACTAGATATAATTTTATTCTAAGTGTAGTAATGTCTGTATATATTTCTGTGTTTATTGTATTGTTGGTGTCCTTCTGTGATTCAGAGTGTTGTGTGTATTGTTATTTTGTCTCCTGTTAAATCTGTAATGTTATTTTCTTTTAGGAACTCGGTGATTAGCCGGATTGCTGCTAGGTTAGGTTCCTGTAAAAGTTCTTCTGCCTTGAAGGGAGGTGACCATCCACGCCTGTGCAGTTTCTCTGTCACATTGTCTTCCTTTCCTGTGCTTATAGTGGACATGAAGCATCTTTTGCTGTGAAAGGCAGTTCCAAACGATGCGACCTATTGGCGCAGACACTATACGGGCAAAGCTAACTCCATCTCGCGGAATTTTCGTAAAGAATTATAGCCGTTGGCATGTTCTTCTTATACGTCTTCTTAAGATGCGCGTGACATCATATTCGTAAGGACATAAGGTCCTCGAAAGAGGACAATGATCGACCTCGCTCAAGATGAATGATATCGAAGTCTGCGTAACTAAGCGACTACGTGCTCCGATGCCGAGAAACATCAGCAAGGGCGCTAGCCGCTGAAAACAGTAGAGGTTAGGTACCCCCAGGACGGTGCGTTCCAGGCAGTAGAGAGAAGAGTACCCGGAGAGAGCACCCGGGACGGGTAGGTAGGTGGATATATACATAGGTAGAGCGTAGAGGCAGACGAGAAGAGACGACCGCTTGAAATCCCTCTCTCCTTCCCGCCTTTCCTGCCTGCTTCTCTCTGCCGCCCGTCCGCCATGCCACTACGAGCGAGCGAACGTACAGCTAGACCGGCGCAGTCCTGTAGCCCATTTGGCATTTCCCCAGCTATAGCGGCGGTCCTGTAGCCCATCGTTGTTATCGTCCCGCAGCTGCATAAAGTCGGCTCTACCTCCCTTTACCCCTTCATCCCTCTCTCGTGCTGTCGACCCACCGCCCGTCCGCTCCCCTCTTCGCTCTGTTTCGCTCACCTCGATCCTCGACGTCAACGTTTCCATCTCTATCTCTCTCGCTCTGTCTCCCCACTCTTCTCGCTCCATCCTTCCTTCTCTTGCAAATTTAGCGACCCGATCGTGTTGCCCTCCTTCATTCCCCCAGTCGCACCACCGCTTCGACCAATCCCCTTCCTTGTCGCCCCGTGAGCTCTCGTCCGCCGTTCACTTCTCTCTCCCATGAGCTTGCCAGCCTGACGTTCCCCCCTCCGAGCTCCTACCAACACAAGCGTCGCCTTATTCTACATCGGTACCGCTATCTCACACACACATACATTTGTTTGTAGGTATCAGTCCACCACGTTTCTACAGCGACGCAATGGTGGCGCCGCCAACCAGGGACGCCTCGAAACGTTTCCACCCTTCTCTCTCTCTCTCTCTCTCTCTCTCTCTCTCTCTCTCTCTCTCTCTCTCTCT